AGGGAAATGAAACCAGGCAGTACACGTGGTCAAGGCCAAAGCCGAATGCTGCAGAGTTAAGAACAGATGCGAGGAAACCCTTTCTGCTTTTGGAACGATTTGCGTCTGGGCTGGCCCGAGCGTCCTTCTGCTCTGGCTATGGGGACAGCCAGGAAGGCAGCCTGTCGGGGCAGCCGGGATCCTCGAGGATAAATTGGCTGGCTCTTAAATAGCCCTGTGGAGAAAACCAGGACAAATGGGAGCGGATTCTTACGACGATGCTTTTCTTCAGCAGATGTTTCCAAGCTGTGTCTGTGTGGGTTATGCCTTTGGGTGGGGAGGACAAGAGATCAGTCCCTGTCTCGTTTGATTCTGACTGCTTTTTGCTGCAGACCTGGGTTACCCGCAGGTGTCGCGAGCGGTGACGGACGCGTCCAGACCGCAGAGGGCAACTTCTCTGTTTGAACCACCTGGTTTTGTTCGTTTGGGAAAGCCTCTGGTGGAGCAGTCTCTCTCCACTGACACTGTCTCCAGCCTGTGCGCTTTGCCATTGTGGCGCTTTCCTTCTCGTTGCTGGTCTCCCAAGACTGAAGCCTCCCTTGCCCGAGCCGCACGGCCCCGCTCTGGGGGCGAGGTGCCGCTCGGTGCAAGGGTCAGCTGGCACTGCCGTGGTCTGGTCTGGTGGCTGGTGGCGGCAGCTGATGTTCCCACCCGCTTCTAGTAGTTCTGGCGACCGTACCCATTGTACAAGCCTGGCCGCTCTACAGGTCTTGTCCTTATTGTTTTATTGAAGGCAGGTAGAGAAAACCTGTCTTCAAAAAAATGGCATTTTTTTCTTGTGACTCTCCGCTAAGTCCTGTGCTGCCAGGTAGGACTGGAGCGGCTGTTGGAAGGGCATCGCGGGGAGCTGCGTCCTTGCCTGCGTGCAGTGGGGCATGTTCAATAACCAGCAGTGGGGTGGCTGTGCCTGTATTCAGGTATGTTTTACTGCTTGGCTGCCTGCTAAGGTATGTTATTGTATTTGTTCTTGTTACTCAAGCTTGTAACCGTTGCGGAGCAGCAGTTCCTGAGGGAAGCTCTATATAACACTGGAATCTTAATTGTCTGGGATCCAGCACCATATCATGCAGAAATTCATGAGGTAAGGCTGAGTTTTCTGTAAATAAAATTAGTTTTATACGCTTTGAAGTGCATCTGTTAACCTGCTTCCTCCAAATGTGGGCAGTCACTCATTTTAAGGCCATTCTCGATTACCTCTTCATTATCGTGGATAATCCGTATGTACTTCCGAGCACACGTGCCTGTGTGCTCGTAGGGGACCACGTGCCTGTTCCCGATCCCCGTGAACAGCCTCAGGCCGAGCGTCACGGATCACCACCTTTGCTTTCCCGTGGGCTGATGCCACGGGGAGGAGGTCGCTACTGGCTGCAGCAGTTGTCATCTCATCAGAGGATGATCTCCCCTTGCTGACAGTTGCTGTAAGATTTGCTGACGATTGATGCTTGGCTATTTCAAGCACCAGTCAGACATGGGATGTACTTGATGCCTTATGAACGGATTGGGAAACCTCTGAAGATCTTAGCGAATGTCTGCGCTCTGTATCAGCTAGACTTTCACTTGTGGGTGTTGCAATCCCTCTAGCATTCACTTTCCAAGTACAAAAGGGCGTTATGTGGTAAGTGATGAGCTTTGGAGGCTCAGGGTAAAAGCAGGTAGGAGTGAATGGTCCATTCTTTACTTTTATTTTAAGCTCTGTCTATAACTGAGAGGTCTTTGCGTTCCTTCCTCTGGACTGCATTTCCCGTTTTCTCACGGATGTTTATTCTCGTGTCTAGTCCCACACCTCCAGGAGACACCAGGGCGTATGTACAGCATGTCAGTAAAACCAGGATGGATATTTTCAGCAAAGAAAAAAATCTCAAAATGACTTTAAGAAAACATAAACCCTTCCTAAGTGTTTTTACTGAAAGGCAAAGTTTTAGGATGCAAATCAGCTCGGCCTGTTTTAGGAAGCTGTGCTGAGGACGCTTGCCTGCAGGATAAGATGCTTTGTACTCCAGCGTGGAGAGGGGTCGGGGTCTGTAACATTTAAGGCAGATTTCTCAACACCATCTGCTATTGGAGTGTGCAGAATGAAGTTATACTAGATGGCTGATCTCATTTAACGGTCCTGCACTGCCAAAGAGAGGAGATTTGTTTTTTCCTGCTCTGTTCGCTGAGTCAAGTCACCACAGTGACCCGAAGGGCAGATGAGGTGGCGGGGACAGAGGGTGACTGTGTGGAGGTACAGCAGCACCTTTTCCTCTGGCAGCAGCAGGTTCACTCGTCCTTTTTTCCCGTTGGTTGTGGGAAAGAGGGGGCTAGAAATAAAAAGAGTCTAACTTCTTGTTTCTGTTTTCCAGTGGTACAGAAAACCAGACTACAACTTTTTTGAAATCTATAAGTCGTATCGTAGTACACATCCAGAGCAGCCTTTCTATATCCTGAATCCAAAAATGCAGTGGCAACTCTGGGATGTTCTGCAGGAGAATTCTCTGGAGCATATTCAGCCTAATCCACCGTCATCAGGAATGCTTGGTAAGATAATTGCCCTCTAAACTTCTCGGTCAGTTTGCAGGCAGGAACTCTCCAGGATGCCTTTTTTCAGAGACAGCTACAGATTTATGGTGCTTATCGGAGTTGCTTTTACAGTGTTTGTCTGTAAAAGGCAGCTTCCTGCCTTTAAAGTAGCAGCTCAGCCGTGTCAAAGTAAGCGGTTTGCAGCACTCCTCTGAAACAGCAGTTAGGGACATGGCCTGGTTCCACGTGGAAGCAGGAGAGCACAGGGCAACACTGAGATGGCCTCTAGGATTTCTAGCTTCTCGCGCCAGAGCAGTTCCCACGGGGTGCGAGGGGAAGGGTACGGCTCCTGCGGGCTCAGACCTTGTCAGGCAAATAAATCTGGTTACTGCAGATGAAATCTGTCCTTGCCTCTTTGTGCTTTCCATATAGAATTAGGGGGCGGTTGGGAAATACATATATATGGGAAAATTTATATAACAAAAGACCTGCTGCTGGACTGGGGACAGTCAGACTGAATAGTTACCCTGAAAAGTTGCATGCTAGTCCCCCTTATTCAGCGTGCTAACGTCTGGTTTGTCAGCACGCTAAATCCAGCTTCTTGGCACGGGGGCTCCTTTTGCATTCTGCTATTGCAAAGCTTTTCCTTCGTATTGGAGAGCAGATCTCGTGACCTGAATAAAAAGGAGTGAACTTCTCAGGAAGTTCGCGTGCATTTGAAATCGCAGCGTAGATGTACTGTCTGTTGCTGTTAACTGGAGTTCGGGGCTCGAAGGCACTGGGCCACGTCGGACAGCAAATTCCTCTGTGGCTTAACTTTGCCCGAAGTTACCTGCTGTGTAAAACAAGTTACCTCGCCAGCCCCGGGCGCACAGATGAGTCCCAGTTTGCAGCTCTGGGTTTCCTGGAAGGCGTAAGCCTGACAATGAAAATTGTCATGTAAAAAGGTGGATTGAAAACGTGTTTCGATGCACCTGAGTTAAACAAGTGGTTTCAGGGATGGCTTCTTCTAATGTCTTGTAAACTGTGTTCCTCTGATCGTGTGTGGTCCCTGATGGCTCAGATACCGTGTGAATTTTCTGTGACTTTACACATTGGTGTGTTCTTGCTATTTCTTGCACTTGGAAGAGAAGTAGCCTGTAACTATGGCTGACTTCTGATCTGGCCAGAAAGCTGAGAGGTCTGTGCCCAGTGTGAATGTCCTCAAGAGGCTCCTGTGCCTGTCAGAAGACACAGGAGGGCGGCACTGCTCTGCTGCGGGGGAGCTGGGGGGCCTGAAGAGCAGAGGCTGCTCAGCCTTGGGGAGCCATCTCCAAGCACAGGCGCTTCTATATCCCCTGCATTCACGAGAGGCAGGTGGGGAGAAGGCGAAGGTCTCATCGCTGCTTACCCAGGCAGGTCTGAGATGGGCTGTTTGGATCAGCTAATTGTAGCACACGGCTGGCAGACACCCAAGTGTTCACAAAGGTCGCAGAGAATGGTAACGCTCTTAAAAATTGGCCTTTTGGCACGGCTGTCACTGTAAACCATCCACTGTAATCAAGTCAGTCCTACGCTTTGCAAGAGAGGGCTTCAGAAAACGACCTTGTCTGGCCAGGCTTGTTTTCTCCCCCTCTTGCCTGAACGTTCAGAAAGGAAACCCTTCCCCTTGGAGCTGGATGCTCCTTGCTGACCGCCGGTCTCGCTGGAATGTTTAATGGGTTCTCTGGTTTGACGTGGGGATGTCTGCTTTCTTTCCCTCCCTAGGCATCGTGATCATGATGACGCTCTGTGATGAAGTGCACGTGTACGAATTTCTCCCTTCCAAACGGCAGACGGACATTTGCCACTATTACCAGAAGTTTCACGACCGTGCCTGTACCATGGGAGCTTACCACCCCCTCCTGTTTGAGAAAAACTTGGTGAAGCATATAAACCAGGGCACAGATGAGGACATCTATACTCACGGGAAAGTTACTTTGCCTGGCTTCCGAAACGTGCATTGCTAGCGGATCAGTTTTTAGTGTGTTGAGGAATTTTTCTTGACTGTCAAAGCACTTTTTAAATCAGGGTTGTCAGATTTGTTAGGTCTAAGCACTGGTGTGTTTTTACAGCTCTTCCATGTTGCGATACTTGCTCTTAGGACTTTGTTGCCTAACTTCTCCCAGCTGTAAGGCGGTGTTAGTACATTGCGGTACATCCACACGGTATCTGCGTGAGCCACTGCAATAAATTTACTCCCGGTGGAGCTGGGCTCATGCAGCGGGTGGATATCTCTGTCTTCATCTCAACCAATGACGGTGTATGGGAGGCACAGGAGGTGCTTTCTAAGCACAGATTGCACAAGTCAGGATCAAACGCTGAATATAGTTCAGTTTGCTTCAAAGGGGTCATGACAGGTGAAAACCTGGTCCATTGAGAAACAAGAAAAATAATTTGAAACTTGTTCCCATAGCCCTAGGAGCTCTTTGGAGCGGGGCTAATTTATGGAAACACTGTCAAAGCTGTGTACTGATAAGCTAAACTCTTAGTCCAAAATATTTGATTTTATAAACAGTTTGTAAAATAACCATGGCAACTTCCTTTCAAGTTGTAAGACTTCTGAAACCCTTCAGGTGGCATTTTTGGCAAAGGAAGAGGGAGGTGATCCACAATCCGGTGATTCTTGCAAGACTTTTAAATCATTTTACTTCTTTTTTTAATTGCTTAAAATAAATTTTAGTGAACATTTACTTCTCCAGTACAGTGCTGTGTGTGGTACAGAAGAAGCCTGATTGCAAAAACGTTTTGGGGAGGATGCTCCGAGGCACAAAGAGGAGAACTCACCGGAGGTCGGTACCTCTTTCCAGCTCTCTGCTGGTCTGCCTTTGCAGAATTGGCAAATTCCTTGCTGGCTTATCTCCGGTAGCAGAAGTGCCTCAGAGCCGCTGGCCAGGCGCAAGCTCGCTGGAGCGATGGTCGTTGCTGTGTGCTTTCTGAGCAGGGGGGAGCAGATGCATCACCCCGTGCTTCATGAGCGGTGGGGAGGGAGAGCGTGCTCTGCTAAAAAAAGGCAGAGTTGAGGAGGGCACCTTTTCCCTGCTCAAGGGGACGCTCCCGTGGCGGCACGGTGGACGTAGCAGCTTTGCAATCTCTGTAGGTCAGTGAGAACACCTTCCCCGTCCTCTTCCGTACTGATGTGTTCCATGATGTCTGTAAAGAAAGCTTTTTCTCCTGTTTTGAATAAATCCTGTGAAGTCACTGGCCCATCCTTGCCTTGGTGAAACCAGTGTAAATGTCATTGCTCCGTGGCCCTGGGGACTTGTACCAGCCTTGCAGAGGCAGAGCTGAGGAGGAGCTGCTCGGCTGCTGGTTTCGGTAAGCCCACGGCCCCTGCCCGGTCTTGGCGAGGGGGCCGCCGCGGGGCTGTGCCTCCGGCTCTGAGGCTGCTCTGCCCGTCTGTTGGGGTGGATTGGATCTGTCAGTGTTTCCAAATTGTATGTCATGTCATACATACATACATGTAAAAAAATTCAGGTCCTTAGGCTGTTGCTCAGGTGATGCCCGTGACCAGGTGACTCTTGTTAAGTTCGCACTGCCACGGTTGGAGACGGGGAGAGCTTACAGAGGGAAAGCCGGCAGCAAACCTCTCCGGGTCCCCACTCTTAGTAGGTGACAGTCCTGCCTCTGGCCCTTGGATCAAGGGGTTGTCTGCCACAGCCATTTGCTGCCGTAATACGTGCTTAGCTGGGATTCTGACCGCTTCTGCCTTTTTTCCGTGGCTGTCTCATTATTTCTCACAACATCATTTTTCCCCCACCTTCGCTGCTGGGGTGACCGGACCAGCCACCCCACCTCAGCTTGGGCTGTGTAATGGATGGATGGTACCTTGCTGCAGAGGAGCGAGCACAGCCCTGAGGAGCAAGGACAGGCTGCCTGGCACTCGCCCGGGGCTCCCCCAAACCAGCTTCTCCTCCGCAGTACTCCTGCAAGAAGGCAAACGTACAGCCTCCCCAGGGTCTTCCCGAGCTCTCAATTACTTACAGGCAATAGTGTTGCACTGGGCATGAATTTTCAAACGTTACGCTAACAATTTAGCTAGAATCCAACATGTGATTCATTTACAATCTAAACAGAGTTTTACAGGAATTATGACAGCGCTCAAAATAGGCCAGCGTTAACCCTCTTTTTTCTTTTTTTCTCTTTTTGGCTGCATAGATCCAAATCTAATATAAATTGCAAGCGATGACAAGTCTGGTATTTAGAAGAGCCAAGTTTAAGTTCGCGGGCAATAATAGCTAGACTGTAACAAAAGCCTTATCCCTCCTGCAGTCTCTAACTGTTTCCAGAGCGTGAACGGCTTTCTGGCCACGTGGAAAGCAGGAAGAGGGCAACACTGCCCTTTCCAGTTAGCTGCTGAAGGGCTAAGTACTGGGAAAGATGCTCCATAATGATACGGGAAGGGTGTGGGGGAAGGTCAGCAAGTCAGGGGAAGGGGATTATGAAGGGGTTATTTTAGTTTTTGATGTAGGAAAGATGTCCTGATTGTGGTGGTGTTTTTGTTGCTGAATATTGCTTAGAAATACTCTTCCTTAGCTCTAACTTCTTAACTCCTCCCTGCAGCATAAACTGATCTGTAGCACTGGCAGAAGCTACAGTCTTCGAAGGAAGGGAAGGGGAAAGGAAAGGGAATGAAAGGGAAGTACCGGAAGGTGATGGGAACTCTACCTTAATTTCAGGGAGACATCACCCCTGAATTGTCCTGACTTCAAATTTAAACTTTGTATTATCCAGTATTCTGCCTATTTCTGTAGCTGTGCTAGTTAATCAGCAAAAAGTATATTTTAGTAAGTCAGTGACTTCAGTCAATAAACGCTGTCAAGATACCTTATTTATAAGTGTGGGCCCTGGGGAGACCGTATCAGTCCTTGCTTGCATTTTGAAAACCTAGCTGATCCAGATTTTAAAAATAGTTTTAAAGACCTAGAATTTCAAAACCAGAGATGGTTTCTGGAGAAAATCTCGACCTTTCATAAGACTTTTGATAATCAAGTGTTATGACTTATTTAGACAAGGCAGTAGAAACTGATTTGTGATGTTAAGACCTTAGCAAGTGAAAGGTTTTTTTCCTCAGTCTATAAATATACCCATCTTACAAAAGAGTCTGGTCTTAAATGTATTAACATGCAATACGGAGCAAAGATGGGTCTTGTTCTGGCACTCCAGCTGGAAAGCGTTTCTTCCTCCTTGCCTGCAGGTGTACTGGAGAGCCAAGGGAATGGGTGCAGAGAGGTTATCTGGTAAGCCCAGAGCCCGGAGGAGGTAAGTGCAGCTGTCAGGGGCTCATGGTTGGACGAAGAAATATTTGGGCACTGTAAAGGCAATGACAGTATGTTACTGGCAGAGGAACATTGGACTTCATTGTCTTTGAAGGAGAGCTTTCATTGTCTGGGCTGACAAAACTGCCTGTGGGTTTGTGGGTTGTTTTTTTTTGCGTTGACTAGAGGAAAAAAAAATTGGAGAAAAGTTCCAGAAATTCAAATCTTATGCACCTGAGTCAATACACCTTTCGTCACCATCCCTGGAAGAATAGAGTGGTGGAGCAGTAACTAGATCTGATGAGACACTAGTATATCAACAGTAGTGGTGAAAAAAATACAGGCTGGCAT